CAAAATTTTGTTTCAAAGAACTTTAATGTCTTCTTAAGGTTTTGTTATTACTGCAATCTTGTGTCATTACCTATATTTGATAAATGACTAAAATGGGGACAGAAGAGTTTGTTGTGGTGTGAGCTAGTGAGATGAGGGTCATTTTGATTTGTTACATCTTAATACCACTTAATCTCAGAGGGGTCCCAACTGTGACAGTCAGCTGTTCTGTGTAACTCATCTGCAGATACAGTTCAGAAACTCGAGGACCCGGGATTGAACTACAAGAAAAAGGAAGGGCTTATTTTACTTTCCCAGCCAATGTGCCTGTTTATTTTACAGATTGAAAACTCTTAGAGATTTTCTCACTCCAAAACAAGAGTGTTAAGAGATAGCCTTGTGGTGTTTGACTTTTGTAAATGGAAAGTTAACTTTCAATGACAGAAGCTTTAAAATTCCATTTGGTCAAGGCCTATTTTCGACATAGATGCAGACATAGATGCATTCTTTTCCCTGAGGAATATCATTGTTGATGCTTCCTTATTAGAAAGGTGTTCAGCAAACTTGTGTTTGTGTATGAGCCTGTGTTGAACAGCATCTGGAACGAAGTCTTGAACGAAGGCAGTGGGCTTGGAAAGAAGTGGAAGTTATTACAGATGCTACAGGACTTGAGTCTGTGTGCTGCAGGTACTACTGGAGCTTATATCAGAGCTTCATGTCTGAACTCTAGGGTAATGGTGCCGATACCAAATGAGGCAAAAAGTTCAACAGTGAACACGTTTACCTAGGGCAGCATACGCATCCTTGTTTCTCACAGCTTGTTTTTTGTTTTTTAATGTAGTAAAAGTTAGTAGTTATTCATTGGGTTAAATGCGTTCTATTTTAGACATGTTAAGTTTTATGGGTGCTGTCTCTGAGTGTAATATACAGATTAGAGAAAGATTTTTTACAGAAACATCAGGGAAAGAGATAATTCACAATCTAGACTTTGTGGAGCCATTGAGGCTGAATGAATGAAATTGTTGCCCTGAGACAGTCTTTAAACTTTAAACCAAAAATGGCCCCTAACATTTTTAAGGAGTCTTGGTGTAGAGCTGTGGGGTTAATGTGCTGGACTGCAAAGTTAGTTTGAATTGCACAGTCAGTGGTTCAAGCCCACCAGCTGCTCCTAGGAAACCCTGTACAGGTCACTATGGGTTGGAACCAACTCAACGGCATTCTTTTTTTTTTTTTTTTTTTAAATGTTTTATTGTGAGTTATGTGATAGTTTACATGGGAGAACATTAGTTTTACATTCGTTCTTTCATATATCGTTTCCTTGCCATGGTTACAATCCCCTCAATGCATCATCAACCAACCAAAGGGTATACCCTGCAAGCCTGCCCCCCATTACCCCCCCCCGGTCTTCAGCACACAGCCCCTCTCCCTCTCTGGATCTAAAGTCCCCAGCTGCTCCATCTCTCCATGTCATCATCTCTGCCTCCATCTTAGGCATCACTGCTTCTCTGGGTAGGGTCCCATACTCCGCTCTTCTCCTTTAATGGTCCTAGGGACCTCCGCTTCTAGACTGGAAAGTTAATCACTCCCTTCCTTGCTTTAAAACGTCTACCTTTACATTTCCAACCCTCACAATTGGTCCTGATAACAATTATTCACTATTGTATCACAAGAGACCCATCTGCATTTCATTTCATCAGCCCTGCCTAGCCTAGACAGATTGGACACTACTCACTAGAGATTCTGCCTTCCTCCTGGCCCTATGGCTCTAGGTTCCCCCTTGAAAGCTTGTAAGCCAGTCACTTCTTGCCTTTGTAGCCCCCCGCCCGTTCCATTTTGGGTAGCCTATGTCCAATCAACGACGTTCTTTTGAACAACTATCTATATGGGATGTTGTAGTTGTTAAGTGCTGTCGAGTCAGTTCCAACCCATAGCGACCTTGTATAGGGTTTCTGAGGTTCAAACTGACCTTGCGGTCCAGTGTATTAACTACAGCGCCACACCAGAATTGACAATAGCAGTTGGGGAGCTTGGGGGGAGGATGGGGCACGGTGGGGTGGGGAGTGAGTTCATGTTAACCAGGGAAGAACAGTTCTGAAAAGGAGGGTGTGAATGGATGCATAGCTTGAAGAATGTATCAATTGTACATTTTAAATTGGTTGAATTCTCTGTGTATCATTTATCCTATAATTTATCAGTTTAAATAGTGCCATTCAGTGGCTTTTACTATAGCCATAGAATTGTACAGTTAACAATCCATTTTAGAACGTTTTTATTACCCCCGTACCTGTTAACAACCACTGCCTGTTGCAGCCACTCCCATTTCCAGCCCTTTTATTGTTAAGTGCCATCAAGTCGACTCCAATTCATAGTGAACCTGTACAGGGTTTCCTAGGAGCAGCTGGGGGGTTTGAACCACTGGCCTTGTGGTTCTCATTTCAGTGCTCATCTTACAGAGCCACACTAGGATTCCAGCCCTTTTGTTGTTGTTAAGTGCCATTGAGTCCTTTATGACTCATAGTGATACTGTATCTGGTTTCTGAGGAGCAGCTGGTGGGTTTGAACTGCTGACTTTGTGGTTTGCAGTCTAGTGCTGTTCCATGCGCCACACCTGATCTGCTTTTCATTTCTAGGTTATTAGGTGTCATTGAATTGCTGTTGTGGTTTTTGTTGTTGTTGTTTTTCTGGAAGCCATTGGTTTGGTTGGACTTTTGTTTTTAAACTTTTTATTGTGAATTGGTGAAGGTATATCGATCAGTTCAGTTTTCTATTCAACAATTCATACACCTTTTTCCTGTCATTGATTGCATTCCCCACAATCTGTCTTAACTCACTTTCCTGTGTTTCCCATTTCCGTTTCCTCCTACTCTCCCAGGCCTTCTGAACTTTGTCCTTGGATAAAAGCTACCATTTTGATCTCTATTGCTTGATTATTCTAAGGTGTATGTATCTCCTTAATTGTTCCTTTTCTATAAGGGGAAAATAGAGCCATGAGGGTGAGTTCATTTTCAGACTTGAAGTGTGCTTGACAGAGTCCTGTGGTGGCACTATGGGATAATGCACTGGACCACAAAGTCGGTTTGAACTGCAAGGTCGGTGGTTCAGATTCACCAGCTGCTCCTTGGAAATCCTATACAGGGTTATTGTGCATCGGAACCGACTCGAAAGCACTTAACAACAACAATGTGACTAAGGGCCATAGTCTTGGAGTTTTACCAGTCTGTGACCAATCAGTAAATCTGGTCTTTTTTATGCTTTAGAGTTTTGTCCCAAAAACTTTTCCCAACTCTGTCCAGATCTTCTCTTGTGATCCCTTTCAGAGCAGGTGATAGTGATATCCAAGCACCATCTAGTTCTCACCTCAGAGTTGTGGAAACTGATATTCGTGTGGTCCCGTAGTCTGTTGCGCTCATTACTTCCATGTATTTTCAATTTTCTTCACTCCTTTCCTTTAGACAGGAAGATACCAGTATCTGCACCTTTGATGATCTCTCATGAGTTTCCTAGATCCCAGTTGCTGCTCACCAAGTAGAATGTAGAACATTGTCTGTGTTATGCCAATTGTAGTTAAGTTGATTTTGACTCACAGTGATCTAGTATTGGCAGAGTAGAACTGACCCATGGGTTTTTCTAGGTTGTATGTAGTCTTCATGGGAGTAGACTGCCGGGTCTTTTCGCTCACAAAGCTGCTGAGTGGGTTTGAACCTTCAACCTTTCATTTAGCAGCTGAGTGCTTAATCATTGCACCACCAGGGATTCTTGCCTCTTCTGGGCATTTTATATAAATGGAATCATACAATATGTGACCATTTGTGTCTTGCCTCTTTTACTTAGCATAATGTTTTCAAAGACCATCTAGGTTGTAGCATGAATCAGTATTTCATTCCTTTTGTATGCCGTCATATTTCATTATGTAGATCTATTTTTGTTGTTGTTGAGTGCCGTCGAGTCAGTTCCAACTCATAGTGACCCAGTATAGGGTTTCCGAAGAGCGGCTGGTGATCTCAAACGCCATACCATGTTTTAATTTGTCCATTCATCAACTGGTGGACATTTTTGTGGTTTCCACTCTGACTGTTGGTGAATAATGCTGTTGTCAACATTTGTACCCAAGTGCTCGTGTGAACATGCTTTCATCTCTCCTGTGGGTTAAAATGTTGGACTGCAATATCGGTTTGAACCGCTAAGTCAGCAGTTCAAGCTCACCATGCATCAAATGAGAAGAATGCATGCTAACACTAGGAAAATCCCAAGTTTTGGATAAAAGGAATGTTGCACAAGAATTGGTGTCCCAGTGCCTTGTGCTAGACTGGTTAGCTACATCTTGAGTTTGTGAAGCAGTAAACGAATGGCATCATGTTTTCTCCATGTTCTTGAAAGAGAAGATACGAGGGGCTTTCAAAAGATTGCTGTATAAATTCTGTTCTCTTTCAATTCCATTTTCCCCATGAACTTTTTGAAGCCCCTTCCTACTTCCTGAGGAAAAATTGGTGTGTCAGATTCTTCAGAGTCCTTAGTGTATATTCACACAACACATATTTACTACATGCCTACTCTATGGCAGGTGCATGCCTTACAGTGCCTACATTCAGCCATTGAGGACATAATCATGAAGAAAATGGGTAAATGCAAGCCCTGAAAACAAATAGAAAATTGTTGTTGTTTTATGTCAGGTCTATCCTTGGATATTAGGCATAGCTTCTTTGCATCAACATTATCTGATCCTTTAGATTTAAATTGAGCATTGTGTATAAGGCATGATTTGAATTGCAATCAGACAGATATCTATGAAAAGTTTAAGGGATTTGCTTTTTCTACAGATTTAGTCTAGTAAGGAGAATTTTTTGATACCAGATAATGCAGACATTTGAGGTGTATTTTTTCCTGTTGTTAGCCATTTAGAGTTTCAAGCCATTTAGAGTTTCAAGCACTTTCTTCTGCCCTGTCAAAGTTTTAAACTTTTATCCCTTCCTTTGATTTGTGTCAGGGTGAACCGTTTGACTCCATAATCTGCGTCTGCCCTAATGCTGTCATCCGGAGTAGAGACTCAGCCTGTTCCACTTGATTCCTCCATGTCTGCCGTGGTACAGGAATTATACTCTGAACTCCCAGTGAGTGTCTCCAAAGAGCTTCATGCTGACTCTGAGCCAAGTGGGACTCCAGATGTAAAACCCAGAGCCTCAAGGGCTCTTGTAAGTCAGAGTAGGACATTGCCCTTGGAACAGCGGAGGACTCCTGTGGAGAGGTGTTGTGAAGACAGCTCTGAGCCCTTGGATGATGGGGGTGAGCCTGGGCGGTGTGGGCTGGTGAACTCCACAGCAGGAGGCTCTGTGGCTTCTGGGATCTTGGATAGGGAAGAGAAAACCAAGAGCATGGAGCTAAAGGTCTGCAGAGATGGAGGGGACCAGGAAGAAATTGTAAGAGACCCCTGGGAGGGAGCAAAGGAAGACCCAAGTCAACAGTCCACAGCTGCTGAAGAAAAGATCAGCCCAAGTCAGGTAAGAAATGAGATCTTGATTCAGATGAGTTGTGAATGAAAACTGCAAAGTAACTCTCCACACTAAAATATAGATACTGACAGATAGCAAAAGATTTATTTGGGAGATTTTTCCAAAATAATTGATTTTGCTGTGTTCTCTTGATAGCTTTTTAAACATTTGTGTCACATTAGCCTCATGTAGAGAGGTGCTCTGAAGCAGCTACAGTTCTTGGAATGTTCAGTGCTGGATGTTACATGTGTCCTCCTCCTTGAGTTGTGGGCGTATTATCATTAGGGATGTCACAGAGGGAGGTCTTAAGGGAGGCCCTCAGAGGGTGGGCAGTGCTCTAGAGAAGGGGTGGGTTATGTCCTGTCCGGGCCATTTATGTCTGTGAAATTATGTGGTCTGGCTCTGCCAATGCACTCACAGGTGGGACTTGAAATTCAATAAATGTAGGCGCTTTTTTCATAGCAACATAAATTTATATCAGGGTGATGTTATAAATATCCAAATGGCCCTTGGCATAAAAAAGGTTCCCCACCCATGCCCTAGAGGGATCACCATATTTCAGAAGCTGATCTTTAGCTTTACTGATCTAGAAACTTAATAATTATTTTTCAGTATATTTGAGGACTGACCCTTGCTAACCCACCTCACCAGAGACTGAAATAGGAAACCAGAAAGCCAGTAATGGGTTAGTTAATTGGTAGACGTGGTCAGACTGGCAGATCACCAAGTTGTCTTTCTGTTAACATGCACACGGAAAATCTAGTATCTCTCTGTGAGCTAGAAATTAGAGTAAAAGGGGCTAGTTAAGTGAGACTAGTGGTTGTGATAGCTTGATGGGTCCAAATCCCTAAAAGAATTTATCTACCTAGTAAACAAGGCAATGTATTCTCTCCCAAGTGGTGCCCTAGACCAAGGGTAGGCAAATTCTTTTTTAGCTTTCTGATGAAAGTGTGCACAGCAAATCATGCACACATTCAACAGTGTCTGCATGGACAGGTCAATGACACTGATTACGTTGTGTCACTATTCTTGCTACCTCTTCCCATGCTATTTTACCAGCAGTAACTTAGATTCACATAAACTACTCGTGTATGCTTTAGTTAGTCTCCCATAGAGAATTCTTTACAAAAGTGCAGTGTTCAAGGCAAATGTTCTTTACTTATTCATCTAGACTGTTTAGCTTGATGAGCAAACGTTTTCCAAAAATGGCCATATAAATATTTTAGGATTTGTAGATAATATTGTTTCTGTTGGAATGCCAGGCTGTTTCTGGATTATGGACTAGTTCCATTCCTAAATCTGACTTTAAGTCATATTTGTATGTGTAGCTAATGCTAGTTAGTGAAACCTTTGTCTTTGTTGTTGTTGTTGTTTAGTGCCATTGAGTCATTTCCAACTCATAGCAACCTTGGTATAGGGTTTCTGAGCAGCATTGTCTTAGTATATAGTATACAGTATGCCTTTTTATGCATAAAAAGTATTAAGGAAACACTTCCAAATATAGTCAGATAGCTTTAATGTAATAACAGCTTGATGTGCGTCGCAAAGTAGTTCATGCTGCTTGTTTTTATGAACCACTGTATGTACCTCTGATTTTTAATATATTAGGCTCTACAGGGATTGGTTCATAACTGTGGGTTGTACATAAGTGGTACTTTTGAAACCTGGGGTCTACCTGTATTCAACATTACTGTTGTAATAAGAAAGTAACTATAGACAGTATGTAAATGAATGACTGGCTATGTTCCAGTAAACTTTATTTATAATATAGGTGGCCGCCCCTGCTATAGACTTACTGATAAACTCATGTTCTCTGGGTTTCCTGGGTTAGACTGTTTCCCACCTGATTAAATATATTATATCTCTACACAGGCTACAGGGCAGTTGGTTGTTACTAGTAGACATTGTACATTGCGTCTATTTGGCTGGTGACTGTGTGCCATGGAGTCAGTTCTGACTCGTAGTGACCATGTACAGGGTTTCCGAGGCTTTAAATCTTTATGGGAGCAGAACTCCTGATCTTTCTCCCGCAGAACAGCTGGTAGTTTCGAACTGCTGACCTTGAGGTTTGCAGCCTGATTCGTAACCACTACGTTACCAGAGCTAATTAGGAGTGGATAAAGCATTTTGCTTTTACAGTAACAGGTGTACATGATATCTTGTTTGTTTGTACCTTGTGGTAACTTATCCTTATGGATTTAAATAATTAAGCAAAATAACAGATTTGGGATCTAAAAATTTCTGACTTCTTGACATTGTGAGCTGATGTCTTAAAAATTTCTTAATGTACTTGTAACTGGTGATGTAAACTAAAAGTATGTGGATAATATCTTAAAGTTATGAATTGTAATAGCGTACTTGTAACCTGTGATGTAAACTAAAAGTATGTGGATAGTAATCTTAAAGTTATAAATTGTAATAGCGAACAAAGACACACACAACGTATATTATTCAGTCTAAGAACTAGAAGATTACTGTCTCCCTTTTCATCATTTTAAAAAGCATTTCCTTTCTCCTATCCCATTCCATGAGAGGTAAATACTATTTAGATATTTCACAGTTAACAAATGTGGGCTTCTGTACTTAGTTGCAGAAGTACTCTTCACATGTAGGAGGAAAAGGGGGGAAAGGCATAAAATAAATTCTCTATGGGGACATAGAAGAACTGCAGGTTATCTGTGATCACTCAAAATTAACTGTGGTATGGCTGCCAAGGACCAACTGACTCTATGTACATTAAGAGAGTTATATGAACTGGGCTAAAAGATGATGTTTGAGCTCTCTTTTGTGCTGGTTAGCCAATAGTGGGAAGATCGTACCCTCCTCTCAGTGTTCTGTTTGAGAAGAGTCTAGAAAATCAGGAATTCATTCCTGGATAAGCATTCACACACTAGGGAAGCACACCATTGGAGGCCAGGTCACTGAGTGTTTGCCTTAGGAAAGAGAAGAACCAAGAGAAATGAGAGAAATGTTGAAGAATTTTGAGGACTATCAAGCAGAAGTTCCTGTTGCACACAGGCCGGATGGAAAATGTGCGGCACTAATACCTCTTACTCATACCTTTGGAAGTATAAAACACTGCAGATCTCTCAGAAAAGCATACTTACCATTTATATACCACTTAAGAAGATTCTAAGATCCCTTGAAATCTGTTCTTAAACCTCAGGGTAAGAATTGCTGGATTGGCTTTGAGTCCATTCTACTCTGTCCTCTAGAGTCGTTGAAAGTCAGAATCAATTTGATAGCAAGGGGTTTGGTTTGGACTGGTTTATAGATAGTTCTGTTCTTACTTATGTGCACACACGTACCTACTTATACACTCATATACCTATAACCACCCATAAGTGCTAAAATACTTTTTACTTTGGTTATGCTGTGCTTACTACATCCAGTTTTAATACCCATCACAATATATGCCTCTAAGATCTGAAGCATATATTCCCCCTTCCCCCTCCAGTCCCTGCAAGCCACTGATGAACGTTGGGCTATTCTTGTCCTCAGTGTTCCTGTTAAAGGGAAATCATGCAATATTTGCTCTTGACTTATTTCACTTAGCATTATGGCCTCCAGGGCCATCCATGTTATGTTTCCCTGACTCATCATTGTTCCTTTTTTTTTTTTGAGAGCATCAGTTTTATACTCATCGTTTCATTGCAATGATTGCAATCTCCTCCATGTATCATCACTCAACATTATTTGCTTCCATTCCCTCTGTTTTCTTTTTGCGGGGGTGGTGGAATGCACACAAAAACATGCAGGAGTATATAATTAATTGTTTAAGTAACCAAAGGACATGTTCTACAAGCCTGCTGCCTGGCCACCAGCACACAGCCTTTCTTTTTCCGTGAGTCTAGAGTCCTCAGCTGCTCTTTCTCTCCATGTTCTCATCTCTTGTCTCCATCTGTGGTGTTGCTGCTTCTCTGGATAGGGTCCCGAGTTCTAGGGTCCTCTGTTTCTGAACTGTAAGATTAACTACTCCCCCATTTTTATTACAAAATGTCTACCTTTACAGTTGTGACAGTCCCAGTTAGTCATCATTGTTCTTTATGGTTGAGAGGTAATACATTGTATGTATGAACCACAGTTTGCTTGTCCATTCATCCGTTGTTGGGTACTTCAGTTGTTTCTATTTATTTAGTATTACGGGTAAAGCAGCAATGAGAGAGAGAGAGAGAGTGTGTGTGTGTGTGTGTGTGTGTGTGTGTGTGTGTGTGTGAAAGAGAGAGAGAGAGAGAGAATTTTATTATCAAGGAAATAGCTTATAACTGTAGAGTCCCATGTCCCTAGCAGAAAAGAGAGGGAGAGTCCTTTCTTTGTGTTCATTATAGTGTGAGCAGGCCACACCCCCAAGATAACATCCTTTCAATTGATTGGAGGCTCATGGCTACTAATCATAGTTAACTATGCCTGTATTAGGTTTCATTGCCTTGGGAGTAAGTACATCTCAACTGCTAAATCTCTAGGAATTCTGACCTAGTCAAGTTGACACAGTACTCTAATTATTACAGTCTACCGTTAGCAACTGTAGAAACCTCTAAATTATATGCATAATCTCTAAATAAAGAAAATTGTAAGGTCATACTTGCACATGACATGATATACCGAAAACACACTGGCTCCATTTACATCTTATAGTTCACAAATGGACAAAGCAAATATCTGTATTTGATGCAAAACAAAACAAAAAATATATTAATTTAAATGTCCAAAGGGCACATTCTGCAAGCTAGCCTTTTGCCCGTAGACACATAGCCCTACTCAGTCCATGGGCCCAGAGTCCATAGCTGCTCTGTCTTTCCATGCCACTGCCTCTGCTGTCGCCACCTTTCCATGCAGGGGTACAACACTCCATTCATGCTCTTCATTAATAATGGTCTTGGGATCATCTGTTCCTGAAGTGAAAGATTGACTACTCCCCTTTCTTCAGTTACACATCTTCTATAATTACAGCTTTGACAATCACAGTTAATCCTACTAACATTACTCACAATTGAAGTCATAAAATACTA